TGTGACCTGGGGGCAGGTTAGGGGGCGTGGGGGCTGACAGCGGACCAGAGTGATACAAAGACTGAGGCTGAGGACCAGACTGACCAGACTATAAAAAGAAGTCAATACAGTACATATTTCGTAAAATTATTGAGAGCTTGTGAAATTTTAGGGGATCTCTTGTAGAAGTATTTAAAGAAAGTTCTGGCGGACGTACCTGTCCTGGACTGGGGGCGGGGTGTTGAGAGGGTGGCTGGCTGCCTGTGGGGGTGCTGGAGGGTATTTAAAACAAAATCAACTTGTTTGAGAATATACTAGAATAATTTGTTCTACTGAAAACGTGTAGGCTGGTACCTGTCCAGGGTAGTGGGACATTGCTTGTATGACCTGGTTGTACTGCAGATACGAGGGAGGGTAAGGAGACGCCACCAGAGGAGGTCCTGCTGCTGATGCCGCAGCCTGGATCATGGGTGGCGCTGAAGAGCTGTGGTCTGGACGAGGAGTCACCACAGAACCTGAGACAGGCAAAGAAAGTAACAGGAGTAATAACCCTGCGGTCTAATGTTCATACTATCCATCCTAAATAGTATGTGAGATTAGAGTAAGTGCCAAAGCATAGTATGTTGAAAAGAGTATGCCAAAAGTCCACGGTTGGTCTCCTATATACTATTACACACTCTGATGGCTATAGGCCTTTATCAGTCCCCATGTCGTCACATCCGGCTCCAATTAGTAGCGCAAAAGAATTCCAGACTAATGGACAGACGCCAGTTTGTGAAGAAAATTAAAATAATTTAGTTGGACTTGGTCATAAATGTCAATATTTAAAACTGTTTATTTATACTGATGCCCTACCATGCATGTCATCTTTTATTTTAATATGTAACATTATCTGATCGACGCGATGGTCAGCGTCATGAGATGCTAAAGTTACTCCAAGAGGGATAATTGGACTGATTTAAATTCATTTTTAAAGGGTTAGTTCACCCAAAAATGAAAATTCTGTCATTAGTTCAAAAGAAAACAAAAATAACAACTTCATTCAATTCTTCTCCTCCCCATTCCGTCTGTTGCGGTGCGCCGCCATTGTGGAGAGTACCACGACACATGCGCTTACTTCTGGTTCATGTAAACAATGCATGCGTGTGCTGACGCATGTGCGTGTTCAACGTAAGCAGCGGCACCACGTGCATGCATTGTTTACATGAAGCTGAAGCAAGCGCATGTGTCGTGGTTAGACATGTGCTGGTATTCGGTAACGCGATATATCGCGGTAATAAATATGCACGATATTGTTATCGTGGGCACTTGAAAATACAGTGAATAATTATTTATTACAAATTATTCAGATTTTTTGAATGTGTTGTATGCTGTATGCTGCGTGAAAAACGCATGTGCTCTCTGATGTAAACAAGCACGGATGAGAAGCGCATTGCGGAACATGTAAAGGAGACGCTCCGGATAAAAAAAAAGCCACATTCACTCGGACAGCAGATGGCGCTGAAGAGCAGAAATGCAGTGTTACCCCGGAAACCACTTAAACAAAGCAGCTGGCTACTTTCTAAAACGTATTTAAATAGCCATTCAGATTTTTTAATTCACTATGGTGTTCATCACAGTGGCAAGTAGCCTACTTAAATATTTAGACTTAAAGGCAATGAAAAATTCTTCTAAACATTCATTAATCTTCGGGAATTTTAATATTTAATAACACGTTGTTAATCAAAATTTGCAACGGTATTATTTAATGAACTAACAGTTGTAATTTTTAACAAATATTAGTAACTTCTGTAGCAAATGTAGCTATTGCTCATTATCAGTGTTAATGCATTAAACTAAGGTTAACTAATGAGAACTTATTGTAAAGTGTTACTTTTTGGTCTTTAGAATTCTTTTGCACATTAATCTGTGTGAAATTTTTTACTTTATACACATTCTGTGTATTACTTTATTTTAGCTATGTAAATGTTCAGTTCTTTTTGTTACAAGAAAAAAAAGTTATTAAACCTGTTATACGTTATGACAACACTTATGACAACTAAATTTCAATACAGTGATAATACCGTATACCGTGATAAAAGCATTAGCAATTAATCGCAACATGAAAATTTGATACCGTCATATGCATAGTCGTGATACTCTCTCCACAATGGCAGCGCACTGCAGCAGATGGAATGAGGAGTAGGGTTGGGTATCGTTTGAATTTTATCAATTCCGATTCCGATTCTGCTTATCGATTCAGATTCTTTTCGATTCCAAGTTCCGATTCCAACGTGATTAAATAACGATATCAAACATTTATCCTGAGTCTCTTTTTTGCAAACCATTTAGTTGCAGCTGAATACCATGAACAAAAATCAACAGGCTACATAAAAACTGGACTCTTTAAGAGCTGTTTGTGTGCAAAATAGAACTGCATGATTCTGGATAAATTTAGTTTTTTTTTCTTTTTCTTTTTTTCCCCCAATGGAAGTTGTGGTTCTCTCATGATTCTGAAGAAAAAA